TCCGTCCGTCTGTCCGTCCGTCTGTCCGTCTGTCCGTCTGTCCGTCTGTCCGTCCGTTTCTACGCAAACTAGTCCCTCAGTTTTAAAGCTATCTGCTTGAAACTTTCCCAAAAGTTGTATTTCTATTGCAGGTAGTATATAAGTCGGAACGAGCCGGATCGGGCCACTATATCATATAGCTGCCATATAACTGAACGATCGGAAAAGCCATAACTTTGGTGTTTTTAAAGTTAGGAAGTTGGGATTTTCTATGGGTTTTATTTTTGGCTAATCAATCCGACCTACCAAATTTCATAAGGATCGGACGACTATATCCTATAGCCGCCATACAACTGATTGATCGGAAAAGCCATAACTTTGGTGTTTTTAAAGTTAGGAAGTTGGGATTTTCTATGGGTTTTATTTTTGGCTAATCAATCCGACCTACCAAATTTCATAAGGATCGGCCGACTATATCTTATAGCTGCCATATAACTGAACGATTGGAAATGACATAACTTTGGTGTTTTTATACCCGTTACTCGTTGAGTAAAAGGGTATATTGTATTCGTGCAAAAGTATGTAACAGCTAGAAGGAAGCGTTTCCGACCCTATAAAGTATATATATTCTTGATCAGGATCACTAGCCGAGTCGATCTAGCCATGTCCGTCTGTCCGTCTGTCCGTCTGTCCGTCTGTCCGTCTGTCCGTCTGTCTGTCCGTCTGTCTGTCTGTCTGTCCGTATGAACGCTGAGATCTCGGAAACTATAAAAGCTAGAAGATTGGCATTTTGCATGCAGATTCTAGGAGTTCCTACGCAGCGCAAGTTTGTTTCAAAATGGTGCCACGCCCCCTTTAACGCCCACAATCGGTTATATACGATTTTAAAAATTTAAATATTTCGGAAAAGTAAAAATGCAGTTTTATTGTGTTTATCAATACCTATCGAAATGTAGAAGAAAATTTTCAAATCGGACCATTCGTTAAAAAGTTATGCGTGATCAAAGTTTCTATCTCCATCTCCCTCGCACTCCCTTTACCTGAGTAACGGGTATCTGATAGTCGGGGAACCCGACTATAGCGTTCTCTCTTGTTAAAGTTAGGAAGTTGGGACATTTTATGAGTATTAAGAATACATCATATGAATAATTTTGGACAATATAATTTATAAAATATTCTGCAAGGGTATATCAACTTCGGCTCCGCCCGAAGTTAGCTTTCCTTTCTTGTTATTTGTATATTTTGGTTTAAGGCTTAAAAAGTTTTTATGTTTTATTTCATGAGCTAATTAAGTGTTATAAAACTTGGTTCCATTTTATGTCGAAAAAAGTCTGCTTCTATACAATTATTTCCTATAAACACAAAGAAGAATTCACAAATTTAAAAAACTTTTAATTCTTTACAATTGGTGTTTAATTTAAACTACAGTATTATAAAATAAGAAGGAAAACTAGCTTTAACAAGCTTTTATAAGAAATCCGTAGTAGTCAATACTTATTTGACCAGTTCCTAATTATATGAATTAAAGAAAAGATTAACAATATAGATCTAGATAATCATGAAAATTAAACAATTGTTCCTACTGTCCGATTTATATAAAATCAAAAATGTATCACTGAAATCTTTATATATATTTATTTTGGAGAATATGCGTAGGTGTTTACAAACACCGAAACTTGTTTTCAATTAATATTCCGATTGTTACATTTTTTTAACACGCTAGTTTGCTGAAAATGGCTATGAACACAATTTTCCGTTCAAAAAATATTACAAAACCAAGAATTTTTTGGTATTTTTTAACCTTTGCTGAAGATATTATAATTTAAGTCAAAAGTTTGCAACTCAGTGAAGGGCCAGGTTCCGACCCTATAACGTAGATGTATTCTAGATGTATTCTTGGTCAGTTTTAAAGCTATTTGGAAGAAACTATGTAAAAAGTCTAATTCACATTATAATTTCGTTGTTTCCTAACATATACCAATATACAGGGGTGGTCAAAAGTATTTGCACATTTCTTATGAGTAAGTACGTGCAATTTGTGCAAATACTTATGACCACCTCTGTACGTTGATAAAAGAAATGTTTATCGATAAAAAATATTTGTTTAATCATTACCTCATAACTTTTATTTTGTTACTTATCATTATAAGTATGGTCAAAATTTTTACAAAGCGCCAAAATGCAGTTGCAAATGGTTTTGTAATATAACTTGGGCTATCTGCGTTAACAAGGTTGATTTATCAAAATCTATCATCTTTATTAACATGGTTGCACACTTGATCGTCACTTGTTCAACTATATGTTTAAATGCACTAATCGAATTAAAGTGACCTTAGCCTGATGCTTTTCAAATTATCTTTCATATCGGAAAGGCTTGGAAAAGGCTCGATCAACGGTTATTAGAGCAATATATTGTTCAACAGTATAGGCACTCAACTTTTATCGGTACGATACCAATCAAAATTAATCACAAAATGATACCCCCGGTGCCAGAACAAGTGCTGGAGGAGCAGGAGCAGGACAGCAGACCCAAGGAGTGCCAAGTGTGTAACCTCGCCCCTGGAGGTGAATCGCAGCCGGCATGACTAATTCCGGAGTCGGCAGCGCCAGTGTGGGCAGCAGGCTAAATCTAAACTAATGAGCCGTCCGACTTGTTTTGGGGGGACTTGGAAAAGTGCAACAAAGTTGCCAGAGAGGAAAACCCGATCTCGGTTCCTGTTTGAAGACGGGTTAGTTAGCTCCGTGCCGGCGATGGAGATTACGAATAAGCTTACACATTTGTAGACATCGGGGCCGCAGGCCCACTACTGGAGACACTCGAGGACGAAACTGCGGGAGCTGGACTGGCCGGAGCGATGTCCAATTCATTGACGAACTGCCTGCAATTGAGGGACATCGGTCGTATTGTCCGCACTTATGCTAAACGATCGGTGTGATGTCCGATCCATGTCTGGCTGCCATTACTGGCTGATAATATGCATAAATAAGTCGTCGGCGAGTGGAAAATGCAACTGTGAAAAAGTTTCATGCCTGCTTAGCAAATTGATGGATGGTCATGTTGGATTGGCCTGACAGGTCTGCTTGTAATAGTTCGTAGATTATGCTGCATTTGTATGCCGCGTTGTGTGTCGAGATGCAATTAGGGGAACGTGGTCAGCGGAGCGTTGGTTGGTCCTCAATGCACCTGATTCGACGGGTCCACACCCCCAGACTGAATCCAGCGCCTAATGAGCTTGTATATCAGCGGCCCTAAGATATGGCCATTCTATGTTCTTCGGAACAGGGACCATTAGTGTTGGTCAGAAGGAATCAACGGATAAAGGAATGGATTGCTTAATAAAGGGAATTATTCATAAAAAGTAATTTCTCTTCATTTATGACGTTTGTATGTCTGCAAGATTAAAAGTATAATTTTACTTGCCCTTTGCGTGTTGGTATTAATTAATATATTTTGAACCCTTTATCACCAGTGACATCATTTACAAATATGTTTTCAAAAAGTGAAAATGACTAATTTTTCTTGTTTTATTACATTTTTTATAAAAAGTGTAATACTATTGTAACGTTATGTATCCAAAACCAATTTAATTAAGATGAAACGATCAATCAATAAATACAAAATAAACGGGCTCTGCTGCCATCAGGTGTCAACTGATGACAGCTCAGTGAGTCCATGTTAATTGATTATGTCAGGCGCCATCACCGACGCCATTAAGACTGCTCTTTTAAGTAAATTTCCCTTCGCGTCATTATTTGTGTACTGTAAAATTGTTAGGAGTTTGCAGTATGTAATATCTTATATTTTTTATTTATGGGGAGTGTGGTATAGAACAAATTAAATGGAAAAAGCTATAGCAAAATTAACTTTTTTGTTTCGCGATTGGAATTGTGAAAATGAACTAAGGATAGCCTAGGTCAGTGTGGTCTCGATTATATTTACGCAAAGGGTGTCTATAAGTCGAAACCATTCGTAATCGCATTCCTGCTGGCTTCTTTTGTTATTTACTAGTCTGGCCCCCGAGAACAACAACGACTTGATTAGGCCTTCTGTCGGAGGAGTCGCTGCCCCAGATGCCTATGGTACGTGCCGAGACGCCTTGTAGTTTCATGGATCTGTCCTCGTTGCTCCCAGCGGCGGCATTTTGCGGCCTATAATTAGGTGGCAATCATTTAGAGGCGCGAGATGCACGGCCACTCCTTGCCAGACTCCTCCGTGTGGACGGGCCCAGGATGATAATTCTGTGCAATTTTCTTTGTGTTTTTATTTTCAATTTTCCCTCTGCACTTTACTAAATGAGCCATAAATATGGCTAGATACTTGCACAGATCACAGATTAAGCAAGCATCACGATTCATCAAACAATTTCGGGCCATCCAAGTCCGAGTCTTTACACGACAGAAACAACAAACAACATGATCCTAATTAAGTATAAGAGACCAGTGCAAGATCACTCACAGGCGGGCTGTTGTTTTACTGAAGAACTAATAGCAATAACTATATTCAAATTGATTTAAATGTAAAATGTCTTTTAGTAGTACTCCTTTTATACTGTTTTTGTTAAGTGAAAGATTGTGCATATATATCAAAATATTAAAAATGTAAATATGGATATGTTACTTTGTCATTATAAAGAGGAAAAGAAAGAGCATTACCTAGATTAAGCAGTTGATATTTTAGTTCTTATTCATCTTCGATGTATTATGTTGTTGTTTAATTATAATGAAAAATATATTCAATGTAAAATAGTTGAAATAAGCCATGTTCTAATTCGTCCATTCTCAAATTAAAGATAGTCTTGATTTTGCGACATTTCTACTTGGTAGTTGGCTTAATCTAAATCTAAGTCGTGACCTGATGCCAAATGGTTTTGGCTGGGAAGAAAAAAAAACTGGGCTCGGGGTGGATGGACTAGGTTTAGTTAGAAACGAACTTGTCGGCAAATCCAAGCCTCTCCGCTCAACACATGCAAATTTAGTTGCGCACTCTTGTATTTGTTCAGATGTATTTATTTCGCACTCACCCAGGGGCACATTAGCGCCATTCTTGCGATTGACGGAAACTGAGATCGGCAAAATGGCGGCGCCGGAAGTGGACGATGGCGAGGGCGAGGACGAGTCGCAGGAACCCTCCAGCGACTGTGCGGGAGTGGGCACCGTGGTCATGTGGTCCGCGCTTGTGATCACCGATGTGCCCGAGGACCTTCCACCCCCTGCTACGCTTCCGGAGCCGGTGCCTCCGGCTGCCGCCCCGCCGTTGCTGGATCCGCTGCTCGAGGTGGCCGCTGCGGCGTTGCTGGAGCTGGCCGCTCCCCCGCCCGAGCTGCTGCTGGCCGGGCCCACACTTCCGCCATGATCGCTGTGCGGCGGAGATCGCAGCGCCCCCTGCTGCGGCGGCGGCTGCTGCTGCGGATGCTGGTGGTGGTGCTGGTGGTGGTGATGCGCATGTGGGTGGCTCTGGTGCTGGTGCTGGGCCGCTGAGACGGCAGCGGCGGCCGCCATGTGAACGTGGTGCGCATGGGCATGGCCATGGAGGCTGGAGGCGGCTGCGGTGGGGCCACCCAGATGGGAGGGTGGCGCCGTCGGAGCTGCTGCGGCGGCGGCTGCTGCCGCTGCTGCCTGCTGGTGGTGGAGGACGTGACCGTGATGAGAGTGGTGACCGTGGGCGTGATGGGCGTGCACATGGTGGGCGTGGACGTGGGCAGGGGCAGCGGGATGATGGTGGTGACCCAACAAAGTGCTGGTAGATGAACCGGAGGGCGGCACCTCGTGCATGTGCAACGCCCGCTGCTCGTCCTGCGCTTGGGCCCGTCGCAAGGCTGTTTGCAAGGCCATCACCCTCTGGCGGTCCGCCGTCAGTCGGCACTTTTCGCAAGTGCAATAGCGGAACTTGCAATACCGCTTGTGTCCCTTCAGGGTGATCTTCAAGCCATGATTGCGGCAGCGAGCGCAGTTTGGCGGAGTCCTGGGCGAGATGGAGCTACCACTGGAGCTGGAGGCCCCGCCACACACGTCATTTTTCGAGTCGATCATGTCCGAGTCGGACATTGTGTCGCTATTCCAGTTCTCCTCCGAAACCATGTCTGCAGTTTCTGGTATTCTAGATAAGTGTTTGAGTGTCTATGCTTACTTTTCCGCTCTTTAAGCTGGTTGTCGAAGCATTTTCTGGTTTCTATGCACTGGAGCTTGAAGTTTATTTTCTGGGATATTTAGTTATTTAGCTTTCAGATGTTTTTCAACGAAACTTTATTTATTTTTAAATATTTAATACCAAGTACCGATTAAATCTTGACGGGATTATTAATAAGTTTTTGTATTGATGTTTACATAAGAGTGTGTATAGAATATAGAGAACTTTATGTTTTACTCTTTATTATTTGAATTTGAAGCACCTGAAAAGAGAAGATGTTCATTTATTTAATGCGTTGCACAGCTTTTACTAAAAAAATAAATAAAATGTATATATATTCAGTAAGTTAAGAAATTCCCTATTGATGGTCAATCCCACTTTTGTAAAACTTCACTGATGCATTTTCTTTCTACAAGGCGCAAAGACTTGAGCAAGACACAAATATTTATAATCGGTTGAGAAATTTTGTTTTTTGTTTTTGTACTTGCTTGGCTAGCGGCAACAAACAATTTTCATTTGTATTTTGAGGGCCTACAAATGATTGCAATATTTTTGGGTTTACCTCACTCCACATGCAAAGTTAAATGAATGCAGGCGGAAAAAAATTACTTTGATTGGCCGTGGGATATTGCATGTTTTAAGGTAATAAAACAAGAAAGATAATTTTGATTCGGCCCCGCCCCATTTACATAAGAATACATAGCTTAGATTAATGGATATTAGGAACAACTCGAAGGCGGAGTCGGACATGTAGATACATTGTTTTGATAGAAGTAATGTATTTGTCACGGAATCAAATATTACTGACTCAAAGGGTTCTAAATGAAAATAAGGTTGACTTTTCATTTCTCACTTCCGATTTCCCATATCTTTTTTCGCTTACAAATTATATACAAAATTCTGAAGATATATTTACGTAACACGATTATTGAAACCTCGTAAAACATTTGTTTAATTTTATGTACTTTGCAGTCCTAAAAACCTTTGCTTACTTTGGCTGTTGATATTTTCAATGCATTTCCAATTCTTAAAAATTTTAAAGTTCCATCCCAATTATATATTATTTTTTTATATACTTTTGGTCGGATGTTTGTAAAGCAGAGAAGAAGACATTGTCAACACCAAAAGTACATATATTCTATTAACAGCATCACTAGGCGAGTTTATATAGCCATAACCGCACTTTTTCTATACTGTGTGCAAGCTTAGTTTTTGCAATGGTTTTTTTATATGTGCACTAATCGCGGACTAATTTTATAGTTGTTTTCCATTTGAATACCCTTGCAGAGGATATTATAATTTCAGTCAGAAGTTGGCAACGCAGTGAAGGAGACATTTCCGACTCTATAAAGTATATATATTCTTGATCAGCATCATCAGGAGAGTCGATCCAGCCATGTCTGTCTGTCTGTCCGTCCGTCCGCTTCTACGCAAACTAGTCCATCAGTTTTAAACCTATCTGCTTGAAACTTACCCAAAAGTTGTCTTTTCTTTTTATTTCTTTGGTATTTTGGTATTTTTTAATACTATGGAATTACGGTTTTAATCAAATTAAAATTTGGCATCATTATATTGACCTATAAAACTCCCATTAAAAAATAAAAATTTTTAAAAAAATCAAAATTTTAAAAATTTTTTGCTCTTTTTCAATTTTAACAAAATATACCGTTGAGATATAGTAATTACTTACTATATCATAATTACACTTTTAGTTTTGTCAAAATCGGACAACAATATCATAAAGCTGTCATAGAAAATTACATATCTTCATTGTTTTTAGTAATTTAGGCATAGAAATCGAAATGTAGTCGTTTTGTAATAAGTGCAAGGGTTTATGAATATGAACAAACAAAATTAACATATTTTACCCTAAATGAGAATTACCGAAGCACTCAAATTCAGAACCAAGCATTTTTAGAGAATCCCTCATAGAGATCTAGAGAACTCTAAATTATTAAAAACGTATTGAGACAACCAACTTTAGTTTGTTTAATATTGAAATTAATAATTAATTATCAAACGACGGACACTCTCATATTTAGAACTTGAATATTTAATTTCGGAAAGTCGGAATTCTCCTGTGTAGATTTCCAGACTTATTCAAATGAATAAAAAACTGTCTTTTAGAAGAATAAACAAGAAAGGAAAGCTAACTTCGGGCGGAGCCGAAGTTTATATACCATTGCAGAATATTCTGTAAATTATTCATATGACGCATTCTTAATACTCATAAAAAATCCCAACTTCCGAATTTTAAAAACACCAAAGTTATGGCATTTCCAATCGTTCAGTTAAATGGCGGCTATAGGATATAGTCGGCCGATCCTTATGAAATTTGGTAGGTCGTATTGATTGGCCAAAAATAAAACCGATAGAAAATCCCAACTTCCTAACTTTACGAACACCAAAGAAGGTTGTGTGCAAAGTTTCAATTCGATATCTTTAAAACTGAGATATTAGTTTGCGTAGAAACAGACAGACGCGATCCTGATCAAGAATATATATATGTCTCGGAGATGTCTCTTTCACTGCGTTGTACACTTTAGACCAAAATTATAATACCCTCTGCAAGGGTATAAAAAGTTAGCATCGCAGTGAAGGAGACGTTTGCGACCCCTACTAAAATTACAATATTTTTGATCAGCATCACTAGGAGAGTCGATCTAACATATACCCATATATTCCGAGATAAGAAAATATTTAACGATTTTAAAAAATCAAGATTTGGCTCTATAAAAAACATACTCCTTTATCACATAGTCGAAAAACTTCTTTGTTTTTAAACATTTACTGAAGTGGTCCGAGATATACAATTTTTATAACATACGGTTTTTATAAAAAATTTTGATAAGTTTAGCTATTGATAAAAATATGCTATTTTTTTGGCTGGTTTAATTATTGTTAAAAATACCCATTAAATGAGATTGCTATGAATCATTGAATTATTGTTAAAAATACCCATTAAATGAGATGAGTCCAATGTTCCGTTAAAATATATTTCTAAAAATATATGTTGATCTTATTTTCAAAACGAAAGTAAGATTCATTTTGGTATCCTCGAATCTCGAATTTATTCTACGACTTTTCGAAAAACTTTTTGTTTATTGGGAAATTAGCAAGAAAAAGATAAAATGTATTTTCATATGCAAATCACGGGGCCTGAACTTAATTATTCTACAATAGTTCAAACAAGAAAGGAAAGCTAACTTCGGGCGGAGCCGAAGTTGATATACCCTTGCAGAATACTCTGTAAATTATATTCTCCCAAATTATTCATATGATGCATTCTTAATACTCATAAAAAGCCCCAACTTCCTAACTTTAAAAACACCAAATTTATGACATTTCCAATCGTTCAGTTTAAAAACACCAAAGTTAAAGCATTTACGATCAATCAATTATATGGCGGCTATAGGATATAGTATCCTTATGAAATTAGGTAGGTCGGATTGATTGGCCAAAAATAAAACCTATAGAAAATCCCAACTTCCTAACTTAAAAAACACCAAAGTTATGGTATTTATGATATAGTCGCCTGACCTGCAATAGAAAGACAACTTTTGGGAAAGTTTCAAGCAGATAGCTTTAAAACTGAGGGACTAGTTTGCGTAGAAACGGACGGACGGACAGACGGACAGACGGACGGACAGACGGACGGACAGACGGACATGGCTAGATCGACTCTCCTGGTGATGCTGATCAAGAATATCTATACTTTATAGGGTCGGAAATGTCTCCTTCACTGCGTTGCAAACTTTTGACTGAAATTATAATACCCTCTGCAAGGGTATAAAAATATAGCAAAACGTTTTTTATTTAACTTTTTGTTTTGCTTAATTTTGGCTGATTTTTCGAACATGGGCCTAACAATTTATTTTTAAATTTTGGAATATAATCTTAAAGTTGGAAAGTTATTCAGCAATTGAAACGGCAACTTTTATCAGTTCAAAGAAACTAACTTTGTTTTTAAACAAAAATGTTCGTCACCAATTCGGTGGGTTATATCAACATGTTGGTTCATAAAAGCAGTTAAATGTTCACTAAATATTATTTGAGTAAAAATTAATTTATAAATATAAAATATAATCAAACTATTGTTCTAATATATCAAAATTGTATTGAATCCACATTTATGCAGAAAAACACAAATATGTACGCAAACCCCAAAATGGTTTTAAAACATTACTTAAACAACGAAGTTAAAACAAATTCTTAAACATAATTCGTAAAAATAGCTATAAGGGTATTTTTGTAAAATATTTAAACGTTTTATACCCATTAAATTCCACAAACAATTCGATTCAAAATGTTTGGGAATGCATAACCTAATAAGATCTTTCCAAGTAAACTTAACGAAAAAAATTGAAAAAATATATACATTTTTATTAAAATTAAAAAAAAATCATTTCAAATACGTATGTCGGATACGTAAATATATAATATTTAGTTAAAAAGTGTTTATGTGCCCAACCAAAACCCAACGGATACAGTCATTTGATTTTTAAAACATTTACATATTCTGGCATAAATGTTAGCATATTATATTCGCTTCTATAATATCAAAAGGATACAGAAGTCAATTTAGTCGAATATTAAATCGTTTTTCGTCACAAAAGTTGAAGTTAGCTGTGTCTTTCTTGACTCGTTGAGAGGTGTCTTTGTTTAATTATTAGAAATCATAATTATGTACGATTTTCAATTTGTCATTTACCTGTTTAGCATATATGTATGTTATATTAAAGAATTTTATTTTGTATTAGAGAATACTCTCAATAGTATTTGAAAATAAGTTGTTTATTTTCAAAAAAATTTTATTTTATATTAACTGTGTGTTTATTAGTTATGATAACAAATATGGTGTATTTGCCGGATTGATTTTTTCGATGTAATAGAATAAATGGTTTAGCTTTCAAGAATTTCGCACATAACACTTGTTTTCCACAATTCTAAATATACAGTTAATTTGAGCTGTATTTATTTTAATATCAATTTATAATCGTCACACAAAAAACAAAAAATCACACTTTAAGTGTTGCAAGATCGCGATCGCCTTGCAAAAAGCCGCCGGTAAAATTCGCTACTGAAAAAACCGATTGCAATTCAGTTGGACGATTTAGTCAGCGACGATAGTAGTAACGTGAAAAATCAATATTTAAAGGGCTTAGACCTGGTATTTATCCGTATAACTTCTGAAAAACGTTCCGCAAGTCGCGAGCCGAGCTTTTTGCTTCTGCTGCTGCTGACCGATCTGAAATCTTTGGCATGCACAAGGCAACTCACATTGGGCCGCAAGACGCGGATGCAAAGAACTCAAAAGCGCCGAGCACAGCGGTCGGCAGTGCGCCAGTATTGGTGCCCCCGGACCCGGCCGCGGATGTGCGAGTGTTTGCGATTGTGTGAGTGTGTGCGATGTTTGTCTGTGTTGCGTGGAAGCGGGCACCGCCAACGAAACGGAACCGAAAATCGCATCGAGAGAGCAAAATATGGCACAGTGGCATGAAAGTCCTTGATAATCCTCGAAGAGCTGCTAATTTTTGGTCATGAGTAACAACATACCTAACATGATTCTTATATTTTATTTGTTTTAAATTTAAAAGAATTAAAAGATTAGTTTAGAATAACATTACAGTACAGTTTTAATTTATCTTTAATGAATAATAATAATAATTTCTAAACATTTTCATAAATTTTTTCCCATAAATTTGAATTACAAGGTTTGCTGTTTCGGGACCACTGTGCACTGTCTCCACTGCGTGCATTTGGAGAAATGTGGGGGCTGCACACCAACACTCTCGAACATGCAGCACACACTCACTGGCATACATACAGACTGACTTGTACATAGGCAGTCCACACACATTGGCTGGCTCTGCGGCATTGTTGTTTCCCCCTTTCGATGGTGCAGCCGCTTTCGCGGTATTTGTGTGTAGTTGTGTTGCCGGTTGCAGTCGCCTTGCGACTCGTTTGAGTTGCAGTTCGACAGCGTTGCAGTGCGCTCGACTCGGTCTCGCCTTCCGTCTTGTTTAATTACTTTTCGCTCGCCCGCTTTGTGCTGCAAATTTTATTGCATTTGTTTTGGTTATTTCTTCGTTCGAAAGGGCGTATGAGTGATGTGCACTTTTGTAGATAAGCGATATCATTGGGCTGATTTGGTCTTCCAGTGGCTTGTGCAACGTCCAAAAAATAAGTTTCTAATCAACTATATATGTACATATGTATATTATCTATTTGTTGTTTAGGATTATTTATTATTATAAAAAACAAGAAAGAAAGCCAACTTTGTAGAATTATTGTTCCGCCTACTTCAATGATTTGTAGTGATTAATCCGATCATGACGGGTAATTAACCAATCGAAAGAAATCGCTACAAAAAAAAGTAGTGTACTTACCAAGACTTTACGAAAATTAAATTGTTCAGGAGAAATAGTGGTAAAAGATTAAAACTCAAAATTTCGAAAATAAAAGCTGTTTTTTTTTAGACTTGAAGTATTCCTTTTGAAATTACGCGTCTTAAGAGGTTGGTGAATTTTCAGAAATGACCGAAACTATTTCTTTTAAATTTCAGAAAACCTGAAGGACTTTAGGTTTTTAACTTTTGACTAATTTTGAATAATTTTATCAGTTTAAATATGCATCACCAAATTGGTGAAAAGAAGGTCATAATAACATGATTTAAGAAATAATAAGAAAAATGTTCACTTAATATTAAGAAATAATTAATAATTAAAAATTGAATAACAACTTTTTAAGCCAGTGTTTCCTTAAAATTAGTTCTGAGATATACAAAATGGGAATAGTTTCCTATTTTTAAGGGAATGTATCGTACAAGGATTTATATCATTATTTTAACAAATTTAAAAATAGAATGCATTTAACTTCAGCTTGGGTTGCTACATTCTGTTCTTGGTTTGACCGCTCGCGCTCTATATGAGCATGAGTGCGAATACAACCAGCGAATGATTAATAAAATTGTTCAATTTCGGTCAAAGGAGAACATAAAATAATTTATTTTATAAGAAATTATTATAAAATAATATATGTTGATATTGTAAGTTACGGTTATTTTGTACAGTATTTGTTTTTCATTTTAAGCGTTTTTATTGCGTGAAGGCATATTATATAATATTTAAATATAAGCAAAAATCATAAAAACAAATAATTTTGGTAAACTAATTTGTTGAAATAGTAAAAAACCTAGTTTTTAGGTGAAGCTTGAAACTCCAAAAAATAGTCACCTAACAATCAGCCTTAAACCGAAAAGCAAAACAATAATAGGGGAACATTGGCCGAAAAAAAAATTGGAATTGGTATCTATGAAATCTTTCTAAGTAAACCAAAATATCTTTATGAAGCCTACAGAAACGAATTTTAAAATAATATTTTTTAAAATATAAATTGAATTTATTGATTAAACTCGATTTTCCATCCCCAGATGACTCCTTCACTGCGTTGCACACTTTTGACCAAAATTATAATACCCTCTGCAAGGGTATAAAAATATAACCAACGTGTGACCTGGAGTTTTATCAATTATTCCATATATTTCAAAAGGTCATTTAAAAACCAACTCAATCACCTATAAATAAAAAAAAAATATTCTCATTACAATTCAAAACAAAAATTCTTCAAATATAAATTTTTGCGTTCTGAAATTCAGTATTCGAGTTATCAAAATAAGGGTACAGATTTGGGCTATAAAGGCTCACATTGAAGAAATTTTTTACTTATTTCAAGGAAAACGGAAAGTGGTTCTCATTTTTCTCAAATTTTTAAACTCGATCAGAATATATTGAGAATGCTTGTCTTTATATTTGTATTATTAATAAATAGGATCAATCCGTTTACCATTTCTAAACATTTTCGAAAATATTTTTCTACAACTCGATTTCGTATTTTCGATCAAAATATGTACTTGTGCCACCATCAAAAGGGTGTAGACTGCTTGCCGGCCCATATTCAATTCTAAGCCGAGGCATGTTCATTTTCCTCAAAAGATTTTGTAAGTAAACAAAAAAAATGATATAATCTCCCGTATAAATAACAGTTATTATTGAATATCTTTATGTTACAAGGAAAATTGTACAATAAGTACAAAAATGTCGTTTTCCAATTAAAGCATTCTAATTATTTATTGAGATGAATTCTAAAACAATAAAAGTTGACAAAAAACTAAATAAAATTTTTTTTGTCGGTTCAAAAGATTTTTACTAATTTTGCGTAGGCTAGGTCTTGATTTGAGATTTAAAAGTAAAAACAAGAAAGGAAAGCTAACTTCGGGCGGAGCCGAAGTTGATATACCCTTGCAGAATATTCTGTAAATTATATTCTCCAAAACCGGATTGGTTATTCATATGATGCATTCTTAATACTCATAAAAAATCCCAACTTCCTAACTTTAAAAACACCAAAGTTATGGCATTTCCAATCGTTCAGTTATATGGCAGCTATAGGATATAGTCGGCCGATCCTTATGAAATTTGATAGGTTGGATTGATTGGCTAAAAATAAAACCCATAGAAAATGCCAACTTCCTAACTTAACAAAAACCAAAGTTATGGCATTTCCGATCAATCAGTTATATGGTGGCTATAGGATATAGTCGGCCGATCCTTATGAAATTTGGTAGGTCGGATTGATAGGCCAAATATAAAACCCATAGAAAATCCCAACTTCCTAACTTCACAAACACCAAAGTTATGGCAATTCCGATCAATCAGTTATATGGCAGCTATAGGATATAGTCGGCCGATCCTTATGAAATTTGGTAGGTCGGATTGATTGGCCAAATATAAAACCCATAGAAAATTCCAACTTCCTAACTTTACTAACACCAAAGTTATGGCATTTCCGATCAATCAGTTATATGGCAGCTATAGGATATAGTCGGCCGATCCCGGCCGTTCCGACATATATACTGCGTGCAAAGGAAAGAAGGGTGTGTGCAAAGTTTCAACTCGATAGCTTTAAAACTGAGAGACTAGTTTGCGTAGAAACAGACAGACGGACAGACGGACATGGCTATATCAACTCAGGAGGTGATCCTGATCAAGAATATATATACTTTATAGGGTCGGAGATGTCTCCTTCACTGCGTTGCACACTTTTGACCAAAATTATAATACCCTCTGCAAGGGTATAATTAGAACTTTGTTGTTATCCTTCACTGCGTTGCACACTTCTGACCAAAATTATAATACCCTCTGCAAGGGAAAATTAGAACTTTGTTGTTATACCCTTGCAGAGGGTATTATAATTTTGGTCAAAAGTGTGCAACGCAGTGAAGGAGACATCTCCGACCCTATAAAGTATATATATTCTTGATCAGGATCACCTCCTGAGTTGATATAGCCATGTCCGTCTGTCCGTCTGTCTGTTTCTACGCGAACTAGTCTCTCAGTTTTAAAGCTATCGAGTTGAAACTTTGCACACACCCTTCTTTCCTTTGCACGCAGTATATCTGTCGGAACGGCCGGGATCGGCCGACTACATCCTATAGCTGCCATATAACTGATTGATCGAAAATGCCATAACATTGGTGTTTGTAAAGTTAGGAAGCTGGGATTTCCCATGGGTTTTATATTTGGCCAATCAACCCGACCCACCAAATTTTATAAGAATCGGCCGACTATATCCTATAGCTGCCATATAACTGATTGATCGGAAATGCCATAACTTTGGTGTTTGTAAAGTTAGGAAGCTGGGATTTCCTATGGGTCTTATATTTGGCCAATCAATCCGACCTACCAAATGTCATAAGGATCGGCCGACTATATCCTATAGCTGCCATATAACTGATTGATCGGAAATGCCATAACTTTGGTGTTTGTAAAGTTAGGAAGCTGGGATTTCCTATGGGTCTTATATTTGGCCAATCAATCCGACCTACCAAATGTCATAAGGATCGGCCGACTATATCCTATAGCCGCAATATAACTGATTGATCGGAAATGCCATAACTTTGGTGTTTGTTAAGTTAGGAAGTTGGGATTTCTATGGGTTTTATTTTTGGCCAATCAATCCAACCTACCAAATTTCATAAGGATCGGGCGACTATATCCTATAGCTGCCATTTAACTGAACGATTGGAAATGCCATAACTTTGGTGTTTTTAAAGTTAGGAAGTTGGGATTTTTATGAATATTAAGATTACATCATATGAATAATTTTGGAGAATATAATTTACAGAGTATTCTGCAAGGGTATATCAACTTCGGCTCCGCCCGAAGTTAGCTTTCCTTTCTTGTTATACCCTT